GGCAACATTTTTAATATTTTTGACATACAGTATTAACATTTTCTGAATACATGGTCAACATTTTTCCTATACACACTATCAAACTTTTTCAAATGATACATTAACATTTTTAGATACAAGATTAACATATCTAATACATGGTCAACATTTTTCTATGCACGTTTAATATTTTTTTCATATGATTGATTAACATTTTCTAAATACAATATTAACATTTTTTTAAACATGGTCAATACTTTTTCTACACACTATTAACATTTTTCAAATACTTTGGAAAAAAAATTCAAATTCTTGATAAACATTTTCTAAATGTAATATTAAAAAAAGATTAATACATTGTCAACAACTTTTCTAGACACATTTAGCATTTTCCAAATTCTTGATTAACATATTTGAAATACCTGTTCAATTTTTTTTCAAATGCTTGATTACAATTTTTTATATACATCATCAATAAATTCCATCATTCTTTTATTACAGGGTCAACTTTTTTTCTATACACATTTAACATTTTTAAATGCTTGATAAACTTTTTAAAAATACTTTTTCAACATTTTTTAAATGCTTGATTAACAGTTTTACTATATACATGACAAAAAATCATCATTTTTTAATACATGGTCAACATTTTTTCTATACATATTTAACATTTTTCAAATTCTTGCTCAACATTTTCAAATTTCTTTTACACTGTTGTAAAATATTTTAAAGTATAAACAAAGGTATAAAAATAAAGTGAAAAACTAAAGTAGAAAATGTAAAATAACGAAAAAAGGAATCAGTGGCCTCCACCGCTCCTGGATCAAGAAGCAGACGAGCCGGCCCATTTAGCTATATTCGCTTATGGTTTTGGGTACGTTCCAGATTTGGTGTATATTCGCTATATTATCTTTGGTTTTATACGGTTTTAGAAATCTTTTAGAAGGCGATTGTCCTTTTTTTCTCTTATTTTTTATTTTTTATTTTCCAAATTTATTCGGAATTTAGAAAAATGTGAATTTTTTTCTTAAATTCAAAAAATATTAGGAATTTCAAAAGATATTAGGGTTTTCAAAATGGTTTGGAATTTAAAATAGTGTTAACCTTTTTTATTTTTCTCAAAATTTCAGAAATTGTTTGCGTTTTTCAAAAAATGTTTGGAATTCAATAGTCATACATGATTTAAAAAATGGTTCAGAATTTGGAAATATATTTTTTAAAATGTGTGCTTTTTTAACAATTGTTCATGAATATCAAGAAATGTTCAAAAAAAAATCAAAACATGTTCAGATCTATAGCTGCTGCTAATTTTAAAATTTTGCACTGCCTGTCAATCATAAAGGCTCAACAGCTCGAGAGGCTAGCAGAACCTATTCTTTAGCTAGAAGTCCGGTGTTCAATCCCATAAAGGTGTACCTTTTTTTTGGATTTTCATGGCGCACTTTTTCGATGCCAGCAATTGGGTCAGACCAGCCGAGGCTCCCCTGTGCATCGCGTTGCTATATTGATAGTGCACTACCAATTAATTCTCAGATCTTCGTGCAACCAAACGACGTGGTGATCCTGTTATTCTGCTAACAACTAGGTAAATGTGTATGTGCAATGCATGTTGATATTAGACAATATCTATACCACTATATGGTGTGCCAATAGCTTTAAATATTAGTCATTGGATATGCCCATCCAACGATCAAGAGATGGCAAATCCGAGCATTATCATCCGTTGGATATAGTTTTTAACTCATAGGATACTGCCACGTGGCCTTCTAATTGAAAACCCAACTCTACCATCTCATGTGTTCTAGAAGTATATATCCACATGCTTATCCGACACTCTAATAAAAAGAGGCTATAACAATCTGGATTCTAGAGAGGTAAGAACCAAGTTGGATCTTGTCTAGTACGATTCTAGAAAAGAAAATACATATTCAAATGTATTTTTCCATGTTTTATATATATATTTAAATGACGTGCAAAGCATGTACAATTTACTAGTATTTATTGCACGCATATATTAAGTAGGATATTATTTGGAGGTTGGTGTTGATATTTGATATGATATTAATTGCATATTAAACATGTTGAGCGCTCAGAATCAGTGCAATCTAGGTCATTGGATTGACTTTATTTGATGGTTCAGTTGAATCTGTCCCTTTGCGTCTTTTCATATTGATATAGATATAGATATAGATGAGATGGAAATCCACCAAATTAACATGATTGCACCAGTAAATTTTCCAGAACAGCCTCAACTACCGTCATTTTGTTGGCTTGCCAAAAAAATGCCTTTTTGATTAACCAACAAGTCATATTTTCTTGGTGAATCAATAAGCATTGATACTGTTAATATGATCACACAGTAAACCAATAAATATTGGTTCACTGGTACAAAAGGTCAATTTTGATATGTAATCACATTAATAATAAAATAACATGTAAGTCATGTGATTGTGTACAAAATGTGTACAACCACGTTGCAACACAAGGCAATTATGTAGTAATATTAATATATTATCACTCATGAACATTCATACAAGTGAGCAATTTTTATTCGGAAAAAGTAGAATCGGAGAACATTGTAAAATCAAGTCAAATATGGACATAAACTCATGGAAATAAGAGCAAGAAAAAACATTCTTGTGGTAGGCCCTGCTTCAAAGAGAGGAGGATGACCAATCACAACGAGTGCTTGTCAAAAAGTTTTTGAAACTAATCGTGGAGGGGATTTTGTATAGCCCGCTTACATGATACTTTTGACTATATAAAGGATGGGTAGATGAAAATATAAAAAGAGTGAGCTCTCATGCAAGAATCTAGCTATACGCAGACTTCTAGACAAATTTATACCTATTAATAAAGGGATGTGTGCTTCTCTGATTTCTTGGTCCATTCACCCATATTATATGTTTTCAGTTTTTTTCTATCCGAGGTGGTACTAAGTTTTTTGTGCGTGGGTCCATCACAACCACACATGTTGGACGCCTGGGCCACATCCAGCAATTTTTGGAGAGAAGGGCCACATCCAGCTACTCACCCGCGCTCCAAGCTTGGCCCAGAAAAGTCTGGCGACCAAATCATAGAAACGGGCTTTCGCTTGGGCTCAGTCCGTGTGTCGCCCGCGGCCTTTTTTTGGCCAAAAAAAATCCCGCGACCTTTTCTGTGCTGAAAAATATGGTTGCTAATTAGATAATCCCACCTCGTCTCTTTACAGCACAGAAAAGGTCGCGGGAGAATCAATAAACAAAAATACAAATAATTAAACTGGATGAAGAAAAGATCTCATAGATTAAATGAGATTGCGGGTTAGGAATGAAATAAGAAATTAAGAAAAGTAACTCCGTATCCTCAGCACACAGGAAAGAAAATAATAAATTATGTTGTTGTGGGCACACGTAACGAAAGGATTTTTAAATTAAAAATGAGCACAAGAAGGATAGTTAACCTACATGTGCATGTGTTTGGATTATGATTTGAGGACGCAGCGTGTGGCGTGCATGGACATATTGGCCTTGAATTGATTGGCAATGCACGACGGAGGAGGTTGACAACTGACCTAACTTATCACTTTGAGACTAATCTTTGTTTCATTTGAATCTTTTTTTTTTGGCAAAATATCATATCTATTATAAAGAATCACCGAAAGTGCAAAGCAACTCAAACATAATAAAAATTACATCAAGGTCCATAGACAATCGAACGACCATTGTCGCCGCCAGATCGAGCCGTCGACGCGCCGCTATCGCCGCCCTCATACCGGAGCCGGCCTGACCTTGTCGATGACAACCGGGACGTCTTCATGCATGTGCCCCTAAGGACCTGCGTTCGGGAGCCGCAATCGTCGGCATTGAATCTTTAAATCAATATGGAGAACCTGACACCAAATCGCACTATTGCATACACACGATGAGAAACCCTACGTTGTTTCAAGAAGATGGCAGGAATCTACGCGGGAGCTCCATCTAATCCGTTCCGATGAACAAACTTGAGAAGGATCAGAGCCCGGAAGACTGACTCGAAGAAGAAGCGCCGCCATCCGTCCGAGCATCGCCCTTGCAAGAAATAAAACCCTACATATCTAAGCCGAGGCATCAGGAATACCCTCGCCACCACCAGCTGTCGGAGCGACAAGCATAGGGGAGGCGAATCCATAGACTCGTCGGCGGAGATCGAAGGGAAGAAGACTTTCCCTAGTCGCCTTGTGAGAGGGGAAAGAAAAAGTTGTGTATATTGTTGCTTTCGAATACGATGTTATAGTTTTGCTTAGCAATGTTTATATTACTCCCTTTATTTTTGATGAATAAGGCGTGCACACATCCTAGACTTCAACCATAAATTAGACCAACCAAATATGAATTATGCATGATAAAAATTATATTGTTGATTCACATTGAAAAGAAGTTTCCAATGATATACTTTAAGTCACGAAAATATTTTAAAACTAATTTATAATCACAGTTGGATTTTGGTGAGCATGTGTGTTATTCATTGGAATGGAGGAAGTATTAATTAATGCATGCTAGAATGTGATGACCAAACTCATCGCCTTGAGACCTATCACCCCTGTCTTAAATAGGTGGACAAGTGACCACCATCAACAATGATACAAAGAGGAAAAGTGGCAAGCTTATTAGGGGTGCGAGAGTTTGTTTCTTCCATTGCAACCCCCTATAACATATTTGCTTGTATTATAAACGTAAAGAGAGAGGAGATAGAAGAAATATAAATATAATAGCCAGCCCTATATTTGTGAGTGACTATAGATGATGGCCAGTAGCCAAAGCATTTACCAAGGCCATTAATGAGATAACATAGCGGCAACATACATGTTGGCCACCACAGTACGACACCAACAACTAAATCCAGCATCTCAATCAAATCAAATAACAAAAATGTTAATCCCGGTCGATAGGCAAGATGCAACCAAACGAGAACGGTTGTGAATAGTGAGATCGCAATCACCCAGATTAACAGGATCACACCACCAAACTTTCCAAACCCATGCATGATGCGGACAAGAAGACCTAGCAGCACGCCGCCGGCGCCAGGTAGTCCTTGGCCCCGTCCTCCACCTGCGCCTGTCCGCCGAACAGGCCGGCCCTGAAGAGCAGGAACCCCACCGCGTGGCCGGCGACTGCCACGAGGAGCACGCCGACGTTGAACGACATGAGCGCGAGCATGAGGACGTAGGCCATCCCGACGCGCAGCGCGTGCACGGCGGCGCGCGCCGCCCCCGCCGCCGCCGGCCGGTCGCGGGAGGAGATGTGGCTCTCGAGCCAGCGGCAGGTGGAGAGGAACTCCACGAGCACGGCGAGCGCAAAGACGACGAGGAGCGCGAGCGCGTACATGCCGCCGCTGGAGCCGGGCCACCCGTGGAAGAGGATCTCCGAGTTCTTGCCCCAGTAGAAGGTCATGTGCATGTAGTGCATCCGCATGCCCCCGTGCGCTGCCGCTGGCGCCGGCGCGGCGCCGCCCATGCCCATGCCGTGCCCTCCCATTCCCTTGTCCATCGCGCGCTGGCCGCCGATGATGATCTGGTGGCGTTCTGTGCGTTCGTTGCATCTGCGTCCGCGCCCGCGTGGGTGTATATGTGCGGGCGGGCCGGCGCGGCGCGGCGCCTGTGCAGTACGCATGTACGACACCGGCAGCGAAAGGAAGTACACAGTCGTCAGCCGCAGCTGTCAGTCAGATCGTAACCACCCACGGCCCACGGGATCTTTGTGAGGGATGGCGGATCCATTTTTCCCTCCTCTGTGGACAGGCTTTCAGATCGTGGGCCGATTAGGTTTAAGCTTGAAGGGGTTGGTGTTTCCTCTTCTAGCCGCCCAGTGTACCGGCCCAGGCCCATCATCCCTTATCGTCCTCGCCGACGATGGCGCAAAGCCTCACCGGCGGCGCCACCCCCTTCTGCTGCTACCCTCACCCGCCCAGCTACGCCGCCGGGCGAGCTACCCCGACCGCTCCCCCTTCCACCCGCCGCCGCGTGGTCGCCTCGGCCTCCCCTACGCCGCCCCCGCCGGCCATCGAGGGCCGCGGGGTGGGATTTTCGGTGACGACGAGGCGGGGGCTGGTGCTGCCGGTGCTCAAGGACTGCTCGCTGTGCGTCCCGCCGGGGCAGCTCTGGATGCTCCTCGGCCCCAACGGCTGCGGCAAGTCCACCCTCCTCAAGGTCTATCTTTTTCTGAACTACTACTCTGGTGCTCGTTTCCATGCGCATTTTTATCGATAGACCGGCGGTAGCTGTGCTCATCAGGCCATTGACCGAAATACCCCATGCAAATGGTCAATTCCAAGACCCATGGTTAAGTTACTTAAGTAGCTGCTATGTTTTTAAAGTGAATTTTCTTCTTTAGTGTGTAGAACCAACTCATGGAGTGAATACGATACCACAAGCAGAGTCTGGTCGTGTTTTATTCAGTTCTCATAGAAGATATTTTTGGAGGATTAGACATAGCATGCATACTTTATCAGAAATCAAAATGCTGAATGGTATTCATTGAATCTTTGGATTGTCCCGGCTTTTCCTTTGAGCACCGAGATAAGGGTCTGTGCGACCTAGGAATGGCTCAGAATTTTCTGAGTTTGTGGTTTCTGCGAGGACAATCTTGCTTGAAAAAAATGTCAGCCTCCATTCAGGAACCAATAGGAAGTTAATTTGATAGTTTATAGTAAATATATCATGTAGCGCAAATACCAGAATCTTTACATGTAAATGAGCAATTACGCATTACATATTATGTGTGTTGTATCAAGCACATTCGACTATTGGTGCATTGAACACCAGATCGACATGGTAATTGCGCATTTCCAAGGATATATGTTCAACTTCAACCTGAATAAAAATGATAATAGAGGTAGGAAGGAAGTATTCAAGAGAAGTTGCATAATCTATTCTGGTATTGTTACAATATACTCCCTCTGTCCCAAAATAAGTACTAAAGTTAAGACACTTATTTTGGGACGGAGGGAGTATTTCATAAAGCAGACTGATACAAAATATGGTTCTGAATCAATTTCTCTTTGCTTACTTGGACTGCATAACTTTGATAGATTTTCTTACTAGTAGTACCTCAACGGGATGCTAACTTCTTGTTCTTTTTTAGGTTTTGGCAGGTTTTCAAAATCCCTCTGCTGGTACAGTGCATATTAATAGGCCATTCAGCTATGTCTTCCAAAATCCTGATCACCAGGTTATCACTAGTTCTTTGATGAGTTTTTACCTGCAATTATGCTAGAACGCATTATCAAGTGGCATTGAATCCATAGGATGTTTGTATTGTTGATGCTTGGGAGCTTTGTTAGCAATGCAAGCGTCCCAAATTAAACGAAGTTCTGCTGCATATTGAATTCTGTCATTTGGATGCAGGTTGTGATGCCCACTGTGGAATCCGATGTTGCATTTGGTCTTGGTAAGCTCAATCTTTCATTGGATGAGGTTAGGTCAAGAGTGTCACAATCTCTGGATGCAGTTGGAATGTTGAGCTACTCTCAAGTAGGCAGCTAACATGCACATTTTGGATTATAATCTACTATTGTCTGCACAAGGTTCACAAACATCCTTCATACAAAACAGAGGCCAATCCAAACTCTGAGTGGTGGGCAGAAACAGAGAGTTGCCATTGCTGGTGCTTTAGCTGAAGCATCCAAAGTACTACTGCTGGATGAGCTGACCACATTCTTGGACGAATATGATCAGGTATTAAGATTATTCATGTTTAGTTTCTAATAAGATGTACTCCCTCCGTCCGAAAATACTTGTCATCGAAATGGATAAAAAGGGACGTATCTAGAACTAAAATACGTCTAGATACATCTCCTTTTATCCATTTTGATGACAAGTATTTCCGGACAGAGGGAGTATGTACTAAGGTATTTGATCACGAGGTACCTTTGCTATTGTGCCAAGGAGAGCAATCTTCAGTAAGCCTTCCAATTCGAACTGGAGTTGTAGTTTGGCAATTGTGCTAAAACTCCCAACAGTCTGTAGTTCATTAAAATTGGTGTAGCCTTGGTTCTCATAGACACATGAATATTTTGGACTATATTACATATAATTTTCTGATGCTTCTATTGCATTTTCTGATGGAGGGGGTATATGTAAAATCCTCTGTTGGTTGTTGAAAAAACTGCTATCATAAATTTGTATGTTTTCCTGTTTCTGACATGTAGTTATCATCCTTTTTAATTGACTGGTAGTTAGCAGGCCTACTCTTACCTTGTAGTTATACTTGATTGTTATGGGCATTGTAATCTTGGTGATCTTGGTTTCATGAAAGTGCAGATGGGCGTGGTCAAGGCGGTGAGGAACTCTGTGACTGCTAGTGGGGAGGTTGCGGCACTGTGGGTGACCCATCGGCTGGAAGAACTCAGATACGCAGATGGTGCTATCTACATGGAAGATGGCCGGACGATTATTCAAGGCGACGTCTCCAGTATATCCAGGTTTATAAAGAGGAAGCAAGCACGCTACTTCGGTCATTTTGAGCTCTGATCCTCGGGAGTCCCAAGCTGCGGGCAGAATTATCTGCGCTCGTGTACATCACCACATCAGGGTACTGAAAACAGTTTCTTCTCTACGGCTGTTTGTATGTAGGCAACCGGGAAGTTAGGGGTTCTGTCGCTCTCACCTGTATCGCTGCTGAAACATTGGTTTGGCGAAGTTAGGAGCTGTCGTGTTTCAGTTCATACATTGTTCTTGTTCATTGCTTATAATGTTAGAGTGTGCCTTCATGCAAGAATGTGGTATATTCTCTTGTGCTGTCCTTTGCTTTGTGGTCGCCGTTTGGCAAGTGATTTGCTGCATGGAACCATTCTTTCATATACCAATCATATCTTGGGCGCGGGAATCGTGCCTAGGATATTTTTTAACTGTGTCTAGGATGTTGCTTACACTGAAATCAAATAACCAGTAAACAAGAATCTAATGCTAACCATGTAGTTTTGCATGCACTATTATATCCATTAAGTAGTTGAAAGCCGTTGCAAATTGGATCCTGAATTGCATTTGCGCGCCAATGCCAAAGTGCTGATCAGCTTCTGTCGTCGCCTGTAAATCATGTATACTCCCTAAACTAGTGATTAGAGGGAGTAGTAACTAATGAACAGGAATATAGCCCACCACCTATAATTGTAAATCGTAAGTAAACTAGTGTTTTTTCTCCTTCCCTTTGGCCATTTTCAGCCGTTATCTTTCATTCAACCATCTTTGTTGTAGCATTACCCTTCCATCCATGTCGTCGGTGCCGCGCTGTGTGCTTGTAAACTACTCCCTCCGTTCGGAATTACTTGTCGCGAAAATGGATGTATCTAAATACGTCTAGATACATCCATTTTCGCGACAAGTAATTCCGAACGGAGGAAGTAGACATGTGCTTGCTTGCAACTAAATATTTTGTGCGAGAACATGATGTAAAGGATGCACGATAACAATGGCGCATGTTCCAGCCAAACCACATTTGATCCAACGAAAAACAGGATGCACCTCGCAACAAGATTTCAACAAGTATATATAAAGACAAGTAATGGTTATCCTTTCGGCCAGAACGCATCGGATACATAAGATTAGCATAATACAAAGGAATGCGTTGGTAATCCTAGCAAAATACGTTCGAACAACAACAACCCATCACAACTCATCTAGGGCTATCCTGTCAAAAAAAAAAACTAATTATAGTTTTTTTTTGGAAACACTTAAACCCAACAGACTAATTTTATGGCTGCATCGGCCGCATCGTACGCTATCCGATCTCAAGCGATCCCGTGGCTTGGAGCACTTCTCTCCTCCAAGCAAACGACACAAAGCTTTATCCAGAAATGTTTCGGTCTTTCTTTCTGGCTCCCTTCCGAACTCTCTCTCCTTCCTCCTGCCTTCCTTTGTTGGAAGGGACAACACATCAACTCGATTAGATGTGCAACTAAGGCTATATATGTTTCTAAAACATGTGTGGTGTTGCAATGGTCTGCAATTCGGGCTATATTTCTGAAATATGTGTGTTTTTGCAATGGTCTGTAGCGGGGGCTATGTGTTTGAACATGTGTGATGTTGCAATGGTGGCTGCACTGCGCTTCTGCAACATGGCTCATGTTGCAAACAAAAACGAATGGTATATTGTGATGGCAACATAGGTGCAACCACAACATATTCATTATTTCAAAATAAAATAAATGGTTCGGTGGGGAGCACAATAGTGCTCATGTTGCAAAGGAGTGAGTGCAATAGGAGCCTTGTTGCAAAGGCTGGCACGCTCATGCTCACGGGGGAGAGATTGAATGGTTGTCTCGGGCTTCATCCAACGGTTGCCGAGGCAACCGATCTTATCAAATGGCCGTGCAACGAGAAGAACCAGGGAGCATCGAAAAGAACGGGTGCAAGCACGAGCACACCTGGAGCTTCATGCAGTGGCAGAGCACCTCGTTGAGCAGAAGTTGTGTGCGGTCTGTAGACCATTCTGAAGTGGGCCTCATTCATGTGGCCATGGAACACCTGGATATGCTATGTATCCATTTGTGG